TTACTAATGTTTGTGTAATGATTGTAATGCATTGACTGTTTGCTATACAATGTTAGTATAGCATTAATATTATGATCCACTTAACACTCGCTAGAATTTAATCCAAATTAATGATAAATGAGTTAAAGTAAAACATTTAATTAATTACTTGTAATTATAGCTACGAATAATTACATTTAATGTAACTTATGTTATGCTAACATTCATTTGTGTCTACATTTGCAATGAGTTGTTGAGCCTTTCACTACATCACAAACATCTAAAACATGCAAAAATGTTATACAAGTGTTAAATGATTTAAATAAATTGCATTTATTTTTACTGGAAATACCATTGAATGAAACTGAGTGACTGTGTGTTAAAACAAATTGTATTTTTGTTWACTAATCATTTAACCAATAATTGTTCAATGCTTACATTACTGTAAATGATTTAAACAAAATATTGTCTTATTTTCAATAAAAAATATTTTACTATTCATATTCAATAAAAATTAGATAATTCAACAAATCAAACAAAAATATTATATTTAAAATATTTAATTTGTATTAAATTCTAACTTTTCTCGATGTTTAGATGACATCATAATTTTTTTTATATGTATGAGCGACATAATTATATATTTTTTTGATAATATTTAACAAATAAAATCATAATTATCTAAAAGTACAGATAACGATCAAATGAAATTTTATTATTTATAGTGGATATCTAAGGTATCAATAAATCAATTTTTTAATAGTTGATTTTATCGACAACTATATCTTATATTATTTATCACAAAATTCTRTTAATAGTTAACAATTTTAATTATTTRATTTTAGCTAAATTTATAAATATTAAGATTATTTTTTAAATTATTAAATTACTTTTATTATGAGTATATTAAGTTAGTTTGATTTGAGTTTAACATATAGTTAAAAGAGAAAATAAATTAAAATAAAATTGACTATTGTTTAAATAAATAAATTTAGATATACTCACTTAACAAAGCTATTGTCTACTCAAATGTATGCAATTATCTCTCTCTCTCTTTCTYTCTCTCTCTCTCTCTCTGCCTCTCTTTCTCAATATATATAATGCCTTTAAGGTGCAACTCAGGTAAGTTATACCTAAAGCAAAATAAGACTTTATTTAGACAAACATAAGGCAGACAGTGAACAGAGTATTATGTGATGTGTTGTGTGAACTGAGTCTTAAGCGTAACGATTACTCGTTAATAGTTTGTTTGCGACTAAATATTTTGCTATAAATTAAAGCTTAAGAAAAATGATAGTTTTTGTATTCATCAATCATTTACTATAAAAATAGTTGTAGCGATGGTGTGTCGTCTCTACACAATGGGCTCAAACATTATCAAGACTTGAAATACTATAAAAATATGGGATTGGGATGTGTTTTACTAATACAGTGAATATACAGTAGTATTACTGCTTATATATTTAAATATAAACAATATAGTTTAGTTTAGTTTAAATTTTATATAACTAAATATTATAGTTTTGTTTTATTTGAAATATTCATAATTACAACCAATCCTTCAATTAAATCTATTGATTTTTTAAAAATATTATCTACTATTAAGCTAAAAACTATTTTGAAAAGTTTAAAAAATTATTTATATAGATTATACTGTTAAAAATTATTATAGATGGTATAGTTTGAAATGAGAATTGTATATATCATAAAATATAAGTTATAAAGAAATTAAAATATACACATAAAATATATTTGTATAAAAATATAACATTTAGTTTCCTTAAAGTGCTGTACATTGCAATCATTCGGCGGAAAATATTTTTATATTCATTTGTCATAAAATAGTTGTGATATTCATTGAAATTGAGTCAAACATAGTGTAGGACAGAGCAGACATCGACAGATGGTTTTGCGTTATATACACCACTATATCCTTATCGGTCATATCAATGATTGTGTGATTACAATAACTGTTACGTTTGTCTACAACTGTGACGAGGGAAACATAAGAAACATATAACATATATAACATACATATATTATATTATAGTTATAGTTATATACTTAATATACTAATATATAGTATTTATATACGTCAATAATATCGTATATTCAGATTCATTTAGTAATTGAATTTTTACTTAAATAATTTATAAAATAAATAAAATAGCTTTTATTTAAATATTATACATAATTTAATATATGTAAAGATGTATTTATAATGTAAGTTAAATAACAAATATTATTTTCACAGTTATACTTCACAAAATTCACAAATGTGGCATTAAATAATTTTAATGTTTTAAAATATAGATTTTATCTCATTTTTATGTTTAAATAAAAAACAGCTAAAAATTGAAACTCACTGTTGAATGCATTATTTTATACATTTGGGTGTAGTATAGCTAAAGGCATTGTTTCTAACAATATATGGTATATCATATCAATATTTATTGTATATGTCTATATACTGTATATATATATATATGATACAATAAATATTAATAAAATTTATTGTACTCTAAAATAAGCAAAAGAAAAGGTGCAGTTTTGAAGCATCGGTAAGGATGAGAGTGAATCAATGAGTCAGTCACTGGAGAGAGAGAGAGAGAGAGAGAGAGAGAGAGAGAGAGAGATGAGCGTTGATAGGGAACCGATGAGAGATGAATACTATTAGATGTGGTGATGTGTCGGTGTGTTTGCAATTCATTTCCTGAATTCATGTACTAATACAACAACAAAAAAACTTTGTCTGATGTCTATACCGTTAAAAGTGATGTCCATTTATTTTGGTGCCATAACTCTATGGATGACACAACTGGATGGCAACTATTGTTACAGAAAGGGCGTCAAAGCATAAAATAATAGTAAATAATAGCAAATAATAGTTACAATATTAAGAATTGATATATAGTTGTAAGTTAACTCATATTTAACTGAATATACAGTATTGTATAATATTGTGTAATATTGTGTAATATTGTGTAATATTGTGTAATATTGTGTAATATTGTGTTACYATTATATGTGTATTGCAGTCAAACCATAACTGTATGGCACTGTTGTGTGACTCCACACCCAATGAATTCTTTTGTTAACTTTTTTTCATTACATTTATTTCTATTTGCATTTGTTATCGCATTGTCTCTCTTTGTATGCATTTATTAAATGTCACTTTTTCTCATATAATCATATTTAGTATATAATAATAGTTTTGTTAATATTAACACACATATACACACAAATAAAGTTAATTTAAATGCTCTTTTGCTATTTATATGGTATATTTAATATAAATGAATGAATATATATATTTTTATACCCATATACAGTACATATATATATATATATAAGTTTATTATATTTATACATTATAAAAGATTATATAAACAAAGTATAATAATAATATCCACATTAATATAATTTAAATATAACGTAATATTAAGTTAGTTCACGTAATCGCAGTTATATTGTGCTATAGATTAACAAATATAACAGTTATATATTGTAAACATTATTTTGAATACTAAAACTAAGCGMAAAATGAACACAGAATTTAGTTTTAAAACATTWTGTCTACTCTTAATATAATATTAAAAAACAGAGTCATTACTGACTCCTCAGTCCATATAACCCAACATTTCATTACATTTTATCTTTCATTACATAATATTAGACTTGAATTTTTACAATATTTTTATTGAAATCATTAGTTGTAAAACTAATATTTATACTTTAAAATTTTAATGTAATCTTAATTTAACTTTTCTTATCTCTTTTATAATTTTTAGAAATTTAAAAAATAACACAAATTGTCAAACAAATTATAATTTTTAATAAGAAAACACTTTATTTAATTTTAAAAATTTAAGTCATATTGAAATATATTAAAAAATATTTTTAATATTCTCAAATTAGTACTTATTTGTTAATGTGTGTATATTTAAATTWTATAATATTATGTATCATAATATATAGCATCTAAATAAATGTAAAATATGTTGTATTTAAATTTCAAATTAATTTATCATATATTGTATATGAATTAGTATAAATTATTGTCAAGTATGTAATACAATTTGTATTTATATTACCAATTAATATTTATATATTTTAATATAGATTATATAATAACACATCAAAGAGTAATACTAATTGTAATTTACAATTGACTAAATTGACAATAAGTCAATGTAACTGAAATGTTACTGTTAAAAATATTATATAATGTTAAAGTATCTTGGTAAATTTGTCAAATTAACTTTAATTTTGAATGAATTGAGTCAAATTTAATATAAACTCAAAGATTTTTTTCTTGTGGATTAGTTTCACATATACCAATAAAAGTTACATAAAATATTTAAAAATTAAAATATTATTAATTATAAATTGAATACAAAACTTTTACAGACTTTAAATTTGTTGTGGCAATGCTATGTTTTAGCATTCTCAACTGGTTTAAATATAACTTATAATTGAAATAATTTGATAAATCATAATTATAATAAAATTTTATTATTGAATATTAAATTTAGATTTAAATTTATTTTTAATCAGATTATTAATTTTTGTATATTGTGTAATGCAAATATAACATAGTCTAACTGTTAGACTCTAACATATCTATAAAATATAAATCATTAATTCATAAATTTTAAGTGCAGTGTATTATAAAAGTTATAATTTAATAGTTTAATAGTTTAATCATTAAATTGTTGATTAAGTGACATCTATTAGTGTTATATAATATTATTATTCAATTGCTTGACGTTATCAGAGTATAGACTATAGAGTAGAAGTAATAAAACCGAAACCCATTTGATTTAAATTATTTTTATAATAATATAATTAATTATTTGATTTRCAATGTATTGTATAAATTTGATTTAATTTAATTATTTATATAAAATATTTATATAATAAAGTTTAGTGTCTTTTATAATAGTAATAACAGTAATAATAATAATAAAAACATGTTATTGTTTGGTTCGGTTCATCAAAATATGTATTGTTTTGCATACCTATAGTCAGTCATCATTTGTTAGTAAACATAATAAGAGTTCTTAAACATCAAGTGATTGAGTGAATCAATTGATCCCTTAGTTTACCATCGATTTGGTGATAATGTCGACCGTTGTGTCTACAAGTGTTGGCTTTTGTAAGTATTGTTAAGATATTTGTTTGGTATTTAAGTGATAATTGTTGTCATTTTTTTAGACAAAATGCCGATTACGAAGACTTTGTTGTCATCAGTTCTGTTGACTTCTTCAGCACTCAATGTACCCATTGTTTACAGTTATAGACATTTATTTATCTGTAATATCAATGATATAGTATTCAGACATAAGGTGGTGACAAACAAACTAATTGTTTGAAAAAAATTAATGTTTTAATTATATATTTTTTTGTATTATTGTGACAGTTGTGGCAAATATTGATATCCAAGATATGTATGCCAGACGTCAAAGACCTGGTCTGCGGGTCTTTACTTCTCTATTATCTGCGAGTCTTTGAGCGAAGATATGGTTCAAACAAATACGCTGTAAATATGAATAATTGAAAAATTTTAATAATTTCATATAAAAACTTATCAAATGTTTGTTTTGATTGACAGTCATATTTGTTGTCCTGTTTTACCGTTTCATTATTTCTTGAGATATCAATGGTATTCACTTTGAATGCATTCAATATTATTAAAAACCCGAACCTAATGTCCGGACCGTAAGTCACACTGAATTCTTGATAAACTTTTGAATAATTAAATAATTTTAAATAATTAAAACTTAGATTTAATATAATATTTGCACTTTTGGTCAATTATTACATTGATATCCCGGCCCTCAAGACAACACAAGTTTTAGGACTTCCTATAAATACCAAGACATTAACATATATTTTGGGATTTCAGGTATAATTAAAATAACATTTATGTTGTATTAATCTATCAATTGATATTAATTTACAGACTATGATAACATCGACTAATAGCATGATTTGTGGAATTTCTGGGATCATCGCTGGACTCATATGTCGGTATAATGTCTGCAAAGTCTGTAATTACATTAAAATACCGAAATCTATTGCATCATTTGTGGCCAAATGGTTGGGTCCTATTGTGGTCTCTTCACCGCCAATTGAAAGTCCAATACAAATGGGAGCGACCGCTGAAATTCAAAGACAACAACAAATAGAAATAGTTGAACAACAGATGCTTTTGTCCAGCTTTACAAATATTAATCAACGAAACAATTTGAACCAAACAAATAATACGAGATTTAATAATCTAAACGCACAGACATCCAGTCTGTCGCCGGACTCAGAGTCGATCAGTTCACCCGACAATCTTCACGTAACGGCTTTAGTTGATATGGGATTTGATAGACAGCACGTGGTTCGTGCACTTCAGCGTTCAAATAATGACATCAATTTGGCCACTAATTTACTTCTCAACGAAACTTAATGTTTTATTTATATTTTCTTAAGTTTGTAATATTTAATTACTAAGTTTGATATTTAATTAATAATTTAAAAATATGATGTTGAATATTAAAAATATTTAAATTAATATGTTTTGATTAAAAAATTGAATTATTTTTGTTTTTTTTATTTTAACAATTGTTTGACTATTAATATTATTAAAATTATATTAAAAATATCAAGTAAAAATATATCGGTATTATTTATAGACTATCTATTAACTAGTTTAAAGAATTAATCAATAAATGTTTGATAAATCAAATTATAATAAATTGAAAGTTTACGTAAAATTTTATAGTATTTAAATAAAGTTGTTTTCACTTACAATTGATTAGATAATCCTGATATTATTAATTTAAATATTTTTTATAATATTAAAAAAATTTTAATTTAGTATTAAATATATTTTAATTAATTAATATTTATTTGAAAAGAGTTGAATAAAATTAGAAAATAGTGGTAATGTTTTATTTAATACAGTATATAATTTAGTACATACAGTATAAACATATTTTTACGTAGTTTCAATATAAATAACATTTATTATAGTAATATTTATATATAATATTAGTTTTCCAATTATACTGTACATCAGTAGATTTTAATTAAAATTATGTTAAATAAATATTTTTTTATTAATTGCTTAATTAAATATCCATAATATATTGTAACTTATGTTTTATAACAATTATATATGGTATTTTAAAAATACATTAGTAATCCTTTTTGTCGATTATTGGGTTATATTATTTATAAGTTATTTTCTAAAATATTTTGTWTAAAATTGTTAGAAATTTCAAACCGAGACACTATATTGTTGATGTGAATTGTTGTCATAAGACATAACCTATAAATCCAACTGTCCTTTTCAACCACCGCAGTGACCAACTCTATTGAAAACATTGTTATTGAAATATTGAAAAGTAAAAAATAGGGCAAAAAWTTTTTTTATAATRTCTTACTGCAAATGAATTTAAGTTAATAACTAATTCATTACATAACTTATTTTAAAGTGCAGTCTAACATTATATTGATTTACAGTAGTATATCATTAAAAAAAATTATTGTATGAAAAGATACAGTATTACGTCAGTTATTTATAAACTAATTTGGATCCAACATTGAACAAGCACTTGTATTAATGCCACCTACCTGTGTCCATTAATAATTTGTAATTGTTACATTAAATTACATTAAAAGGTACATTACATTAATGTTATAATTAACAAAAATATTTAAAAAGCATATCTAAAATAAGCTCTTTTTGTATTAAAAAAGAGAGCTTTTTATTATATGAATTTAATGTTTGGCTTTAACTATAGTTAGTAATAGTTGATTTAGTAGTGAATTTAGTAGTAAAATGACATACATTTAAAAAAATAGTCTATAAATAATTTTAAAATCATCAATTTTTGTTATCCACTATTTAGTTAAACTAGATTTAAACAAATTTCTTATGTAATGACCTTTAAATTAAATATTACATTAAATAGCAACTAATATGACGTCAAATGTAAAACTAAATGAATGCTATTAAATGATTATAATTAGTGATTAATTCCCGGATTTCATTCAGTAGAATAACATTCAGAAAAAATATTTAAAAACAAATTAGTATTTTTAAAATTTATTTAATTAACATGTTTGGCACTATTTGTTACAAAAAAAATATATTTAGCAAAAATTGTAATGACATTTTATAAAAATATACAATTTATTTAATTATTCAAGTAATGAAAATACGGATATCTATTTAAATAAATTGTATATTTAAATGAAATATAAGAATAATAGTTTAAATTATTCTAACATATTTTATATTAAATTTCTATTTAAAATCTAATTAAACTATTACTAGTATGTTTGACAAAAATATTGTATTAGTGACAATATCTAATATTTAGATATACAAACTAAATTACTTAGCCTTTTTTAAAAATAATTTAAAAGTATTTAATAAAACTAAAATGTTTATAATACTGGATATAGAAAATATTATAATTATTTATTACTAATAAATTATTAAAATCCAAATACATGTTATTATAAAAGTTTAATTGAGTTTTAGTGGCATTATTTAAGTATAACTTTCATTGTTTGGTCACTATTTGATGGTAATTTGAAGGTTATTGTTATACCAAATATGGTTTTTTAAGTATAGATAAATGTTTGTTAAATATATGAAACGATAGTTTGACCCATAAATGTAGTTAACTGTGAACCGCATTCTCATCTTTGACTTGAATTTCTGGTAATTTTAACGAAAAAAACTTACAATTTGTTGCTCTATATTAACAGCACATATAAAACAGTGTTGTTTCTCTCAAATAAACACTAAACAGACTATTTTTAAAAGCTTTTTATTAGTTTAATATCTTTTATTTGTTTACCAGAAAATAATAATTTTTTATTATTTAAAAAACAATGTATTCATTGACCATTTTGGTGACAATTATTTCAATTTGGTTTTTTCAATCAGCAAAGTGTCAGCGCTTTGGTTCGGGTCCCTGTCCTATAGTTAAACCACAATCTGATTTTGATAAAACAAAAGTAAGTTTTATTAACATTTTATATAAAATATTAAACATGTAATCAACAGTTTTTTGGTCATTGGATTGAAGTGGAAAAGTCTCCGTCGATTTTTGATCTTATTATGAGATGTATTTCAGTTGATTATTCAGGTCTGTTATTGTCATCATTATTATTACAAATATACCGTATATTTAATAATATTAATTAATATAATAATAGATGATAACGACGGAAGTATTAATGTTGTAGTTCGCGGGACATCACTGTATGATTTATTTTTATATAATTTTTTGTTGTTTTAAAATTAAAATAAATGCATTTTATTATATTAATCATTAATGATTTTAGTGCTGGACTACCATTGAGTGTCAATGGAGATGGTCTTCCTCAAGATGTGTCTCGAAATGGACAGTATAGTGTTAGATATGGTTTTGGTGTACCATTTCAGGGCACATACATAACAGTAGTCGACACCGATTTTAATGATTACGCTGTTCTCTATTCGTGTACAAACAGTCTTCTTCCCGGTGTTTTCCACACAGGTATGTATTTTATTTCAATTAGTTAATAATTTATTTAAATATATATATATAGAAATGTTTTATCATTTTTTGCAATTAATTTATTTGCAATTTTTTATAACATGTAATAATATATTACAAATATAAAGCAATTTCGTGGAAACGTTTGAAATGAATGCTCTCTTAAATTATAAAAAGAGTTATATTTATTTCATATCATTTAAATATCAAAACATGTTTATAAATGGTTTGAAATTATACTTAATAATTTAAATTATAAAAAAAGCAATTTATTTATTTTTAGTTAAACTTATTAGAGATGTATCAAACATATAAAAATGATTAATTTATTTGAAACATGTAATACTGTAGAGTATGTATGGATACTATCCCGTGACGGAACCCTTTCTAACCCTTCACGACAAAACATTTATGAAAACTTGGATCGCCTTAAGATTAATAGAGTTGGTCTTCAATTGAGTGAGAGAAGTGCCTGCGCCGGGAGGAACACCACTTTGAATCAAAGAGAAAGTGATGACGATCTCACCAAAGGAACTACACTCAAACCATTACAACCGGAAGCACCCGTTCCTGTCTCCGGCTCTTAATATACAGTATTAAACTATTCAAACAAATAACTATTTATTAATCAATGAATATTTATATTTTATTTAAAACAATTCATCCGTGAATTATTTAATATGTAAATTACATTAATTATTATATATTTTTCTCTAATTAAAAATTTCAATAAAGATAAATATCATTTACTGTAAATGTAAATTTATATATATTGTAATTATGAAATAACTTGTCATTATATACTATTATTACCATATAAATACAGTTTATGCGTGTTTGGCAATAAATATAATCATATAAATTATGAAAAATAGTCTATCAATAAAAACAAATACCAATTGCCACTCGTGTTTATTAGTAATATTGCTATCATTAGAGCTATTACTGTCAATGTTTGTGCCGTCAGGTTCTTCAGGTGTCAAATGAATGCGATCTGAAGTAAATGATTTGCTTTGAGGCAAACATTCATTATTAATGCACAGAATATTAGCCAAAACTCCAGACAAGAAGTCGACCAAAAATTGAGGAATTTTTATGTTTGAATTCAAACAAATAGTAAATATATGTTGTGATAGTGTCGAGTAAATTAATGCAATGCTAACCATTATTACCAAAAGACTTAGATTTTTAACTATCAATTATTTTTTTCAATTAAATAGTTTTAATTTATTTTATATGATAACATACTTGCATAAGGAACTCCTAAAGTAGCCGTTCCTAACTGTAAAGCCAAATAAAAAAGTGTTGTTAGGCTTATAAAAAAACTGTAAATAAATAAAATTACATTTGAGTTATTATTGTTTCCTAAATATAATATTTACATAACTAAATATAGTATCAAACCTTATTGAACCTAAAGTATAACGAACAGTGCTATGAGAGGGTAACCAAAATATGGCCAAAATCAATGTCATCGATGCTATTGAAGGTAAAGTTATTATATAATAATAATACGATGTGTTTCTGTTTATTTCAAAATAAAAATAATATATAAAAAACTTAATATAGTGTAAAACAGACATAGCATACACACCTTTTAAGCTTTAATGTTAGGTTCAATGTTGTGTATACACCATAACCAGCATATTCGTAGTTATTTCTATAAATTTATTTTTTTTAAATATAAACTACTATATCGTATGTAATGTTACATTATATTAATATATTAAATATATTATCTAAACCTTGTTGTTTTAAAGTCAATGATTTCCCACTCAGGATTTGTATACCATGTGTTTCCACTTAAAAATTGATTGCCTAATCATATTACAGTATATATATATATACTTAGAATATTTAAATAATTTATGAAAATAGAAATGAATTATTTAATATTAGACCCAATGTTGTTATATTGATTTGTTGTTGATTATGAGTCCACGAACCGAAATATAGACCACATTCCTGAATGTCATTCGGATAATCAGTCAAATCGACAGTACATGACGTCCGTAAAGATCCTGCGGGTGTCCTATAGTTTGTATTTAATAATATTACAAATCATATCATTTTTACTAAGAAATTATAAATACGTTAACATTGATCTGAATTATACAAACCATACAGCAGTGCCATTTGAGTTCACTATTATATGTACAGGAGATAGGACTTCATCTAAGTTTAAACTATAAAAATAAATTTAAAAGTAATCCACGTTTAAAATATTATCATATATTCATACAATATATGTAATAAATATTATATTAACTTAAATAYAGATTATTGATGACATGACTTACTGGTCGGCGCTATTCCACAAAAGGATATCTGGTTTCCACAATTCATTGCAATCAAAATGCAATTCCTTAAGGAATAAAAATTTTAATTATTTTAATTAAAATAATAGAAATTTATTTGTTATTTTATTGAATATAAACTGATTTTTATAATCACATAAATACTTTTATATATAATTAAAATGTTATTAAACCAATTTAATAAGTACAGTAAATATAAAATATCTATCGAATATAAAATGTTTGTTAGATTATATAATATATCAATAGTATATTAAATTTTGGTAATTTATATTTTTTTACTTGTTTGCAAGTTATATTTGTCTACTATTTAAATACTTAATATAATTAACCATAAATATAATAATAAAATAAATGTTAATTTGGTATACATTTAATCCTTGATAATCATTAGGATTCCAAGTCAAGTGTTCGTCAATCCAAACCTGTAATAAATGCCACAATATATCTGGCGGTTATTTATACAAAACAACATTTCACAAAAATTGTATCAAATATTTATACCAAACGAATCCAAGCCTCGGCTATCAATACATGTCTTGATATATCCTTAAAAAGATAAATATTAAAACAAAGTAATAGATTTTATGAAATCTAAACTTGTTTTTTGATGTAAATTTGGTAATTGACTGGATATTAAAAGATATATATATATATAATATAATGAAACTATGATTCACCAAATCGGTCAAATGGGTGACAGATATAGACATTTGAAGCCAAGTGGGTGTTTGGTGTTGTTTGACGGGTCGACTCCACTTATCATATGAACGACTAGACAATAGCTCTTTTCTCAAACGCTTGATTTGAGTCAAATCATCTGTTAATCAAAACATTATGTTTTACTTACTGTACTTTTAAGATAATCGCAAACAATTTGTTTTTCTTAAAAAACAAATCTCTTCAAAAACACATACCATTACAATATATGTTAAAAATAATAAACAAAATTAAAATAATACTGTTTTGATTAATTATTTTCATATTTATTTACTGTATATTGTATTGTTGTTTATTGCTTTTTTTCTCGTAAACTAATTTTTGGTACACATTATTTTTCGTGAAAAATATTATAATTTATTCAAGACAAATAACTTTAGGATATTTAAAAATTATTTTATTAAAAATTAATAAATTATTTTTGTTTCTACTAATACCTTAACTTAAACTAAAAATAATTATTTATATATGTACAATTTTTACTCAAATAACATGTTAAAGTGGGTGTATTAATTTTGATTAATGTTCAAAACTGTATTATGTTACCATTATTAATGAGCATTAAAAAAATAAGCAATATCATATAAAATAACTTTAATTTTAATAACTTATATATTTTGTAATAACTTTTAAAAATTTAAAAATTACAATTATTATATTTACCAACTTATAGTTATTTACTATCTTAATAATTTATTATAATGATATACTAAATTTATATTTATAAATATATAAATAGTGTAATAAAATTAATTGTCATTAACCACAAATAATTCTATAATATTTTGATTCTGTTTTTTATTAAAATATATTATTTTTAATTAATTCTAATTTTTTTGAGTTTTATAAATGATTTAATAATTTGTAACTTTATTTTTTATCTATTAACATAATATTGTATACTATAGTTTATAAACTAATGTTATATTTATGACTGTAAATTATATGTTAATTTTTATTAAATTAGACAAAACTACAGTATTTTTGTATAATTTATTGAATAGTATATTGTATTATACTGTACACAATTTCATATTAATTTAGTTACTGTATAAATGAGCATTTATCTTATTAAATACAATACAATATATTAAAGTTTACTTTTATCTAAAAATGAATTAACTATAATAAATCCAATTATTATAATTTGCTAAAAATATTATACATACATAAAGATAGATGTTTTAAAAAAGACTGTTATTTACTATAAATAGTAAAAATGGTTTTCAAAAATCAAACATTAAATCCTAAAGGTTTTTACAGTAGTTTAAGTTTTCATAAATAATGAGATTATTGCATTTAAATAACCAATTTTAATTAATTATATTTCAAACAAAACTATTTAATAATCAAAAAATTAAAATACTTTTAACTATATTACAATTATGATGTTTGCAAATAAAAGAATTATTAAAATCTATTATATAAAAATATTTATTTTATAATATTAATTAAAAACCCTTTATTAAAATATTATTTATTTATTTAAGAAAATAGATTATCTTTAATTATAAAATTTTAATAATAAATAAGAGTTTTTATTTTAAATTTATTTATTTATAGTAAATAATAAATTAAATTTGTATAATTTAATATGAAATTTAATTAAAAAATTGTATATAATATAATAACAACCTCAATGACCTCAGGCCACAAAAATTTGCAATTCATATTAAGAATAGACATAACAACAATTGTTTTATAATTCATTATTAAATATTATAATACATTAAATTTAACAAAAAAAAGCTATAAAACTTATAATTTAACGTTATATATAAGTTTATTATTTACAAAACTTATAATTATAAAAAAATAATTTGATATATAAATTTAATATATATTTTTGTAAATACTATATCCAATATATAAAGCAATTTATTATGGCTAATATTTCGCACTTAAATTTATGATATACTGTATTTTAGTTGAGAATAAACGTGAATTTGAATTTAATTGACACATTTAATAATAATAATAATTTGTTTAAGACTTGTTTTATATGTTGCAAATGTTGCATACGTTGGGATCACTTGATTAATAGTCACAAACATTAAATGTTCAGATAATTCTTTATAAATAGATTAGTCAACAATTTTATTTTTTTTAAATTTTTTAAATGACATAATAAATAACTAATTAAATAATAAATTATGAAATAATTGTTGACTTTTTTCCAAATTTTATAAAATGTAAAATTGATATTTATATTAAATATATAATAAAATAACAGTTTTGATGAATGTTGTAAAAGTTGTTGAAATACTGAATGACTTGAGCTTTGATGCGATGACGACAAGCAATTTGTTAGCAATTAGTGGTGGGGTTTAAGATAGGGATGAAATGGTCAACGTTTAGACATTTGTACGTGTGATGGATGTTGGCGTTTGGCATATGTTCTCATATCATAAGTAAGAGAGGGAGGTGTGGACAGGGATGTCAATTTGCTACTTGTTTCTAACGATCTCTGTCTTAAACAGAGAAACACTGAGAACAGGCAAGAAATAAGAAGAATAACAATTAAGATAACAAGTGCTGAAGTGAAGCCAACCAAAGACATACAAATGACATCACTTTCATCTGCACTTTGAGACATCAAAGGAAGTGATTCATTGTGTAAAGCAAACGATAGATCTCCGGCTGAAACCACTTGTATTATACGGTTGAGACCCACTTGTGTTGAGTCGTGTTTATATGAAGTGCTGGCAATTATATGTCGATCGACATCACGTTCTTCTCTAGGTTTTCCAATTGAATGAAAATTGTTTTGACCGGAACCGCTATATAGGTTAACAATGTCTGCGGGAGGACTCTGGTGTTGACTACATTGCTCTGGACATTGGAACCGACAGATCTGTATCGTACACTGAAAGTGCACTTCCATACTATCGGGGAATTTAAATGCCTGGAAGTGGGTATACGACAAAACACTAGCACTCGAACCAAAATTTTTGATTTTCGTGAATTTGCTCATTAGTTTTGGTCTAACTATACATCCCTGACTGTCCACTAATTCAATTGGTGCTCTTTTGCCGTCATGAGCTATACAATTACGAACCAACATATCAAACTTGTTTTCATCATCTTTAATGGCTAACACCATTGTCATGGTTTGTCCAATTTTGACAATGCCTGCCACCTCACTGGCCCATGGTCCCTTTCCAACTTGAATTTGCATCCAACATCCCACGTTATCACCAGCAAAGTCAGCTCTAACAACATCAAGCATATCGACAGGGAATGGTCTAAAAGTGACTGCCTTTTCATACTGGTCGTGCCACGTGCACCTTAACTTCCTCGCCTGATCCCATACTTCTTGAACTTGTGGGTCATATTGAATAACAATAGTGTTTTCAAAGAAGCTTCCGCTACCACTTTGTGAACCGTACCCATAGAGTCCATTTTGGGTGTTACCAGTAGTACCACAACTATTAATACCGACATCAAAGAAGACACTACTTCTGCCCGAACCGGCCGGTAAATGAATACAACTGCCATAACTATAGTGTCCTTTACTAAATATAATACCATTGAATGGCTTATCAAACTCTATGGCAACTTTCATCAAATTTTTCTCGCATTTAACATCCAAATGAACTATTTTAGGCATTTCTGGAAGTGGTAAAGGCCAGGGGTCATTTCCTTGAGGTGCTGGTGGACCTACTATATTTTTTATTTTTAATTAAGTTTGCAATCAAATTTAAGAAATATTTTTTTAAAAATTATTATTACCTGAAAATTGTTGCGTTTGTTGAGGTTGTGGTTGTTGTGGCTGTGGCTGTGGTTGTTGTTGTGGGCCATGCATTTCTGGTCCATATTCTACATAATTACTTTCAATAGGGAAACCTCCGTGTTTTCCTTGAGCACCGGGATATACAGGTTGTGGTCCTTGAAATGGTGGTCCGTGTGGTCCTTTCTGAGGTCCATTTGGCATAATTATTTGTCCAGGTCTAACAGGTAATGGCAATGGAACTGGTATCGGAATACCCATATTTTCATGTTTAGGAGGGGATGATTGCATATAATTATGTAAATTCAAAGGCATTCCTGGGCTATCAAATTGAGCCTAAAATTTATGTATTGAAATATAAATAATATTAATATATTGTATATTTTAAAAGTATAACAAATTATATTTATTTATTTAATTAATTTTAATAATAATACTAATTACATGATAATAATAATAATAATAATAATAACCTGATGTTGAGGATAAACCTGGTGTTCAACAGAGTCTTGACTTTCAGCTTTGATTAAGTCTTCATCCGGATGTACCTCAACTTGTGCTCCAATTTTATCGTTTTGATTATTGACTTCAATATTTTCATGGCTCTCATCACCACAAATTGCAAACTATAAATAATTATTAAATATGTTATACACTATAGTCTATAGATATTAAATAGTAATAGACATATTTGTAATATAAAAGTTTTAATCTAAATCCCTTCAAATTCAATCAAATATAGACAATATTTATTAAACAATATATAGTATTATATTATCATATTTCATGCAATATAACTTGTATTGTATTGACATTTAAAAAATTAATTTAATCACTATTAAGTGATGAATGCTTGTTACGTGAAATAGTTATATCAAAATTAATGTTAAGTTAGTTTATATTTATACAAAAGATTAAATATAATGCATGTATTGTTATTAAAATAAAGAGTTGGTCTCTGAAAACACAACATGAATGGCATTCCTGTAATTCCTCGCTTAACAACAGTTCCCATAAAAGTAGCAAATATTTCATAACAAGGCCTCAAAATGCTTGAAGTGTCAATAAAAAGCTGAACTTCGAGTTAACCATTATTTCTGACATATTTTTGTATCTAAAATATATAAACATTAGGCCAGACTCTTATGTCTGACAACCAAAAAGTACTTGAAATTTATGTATTCCTTCAATCAATTTAACAAAAATTTTCACCATTTATTATACTCCTATAAATATCTTTCTAGTATTAAACTAAAATAATAATAATATAAAATTGAGTTATATTTTATAAATAAAGTATTATTAGCATTTATTAAAACTCATTTATCATTGAATATATAAACATGATATGGCTCTACAATTAAAGTTAGTATATATTGAGCGTAAGTTTAATGAATAATAGTATATATAAAATAATTATAAAATTGATATAATTGTGAATATATTAATATGAAATGTATAAAATATTAATGTGAATAAAATATAAAATACTATATAATATTGAACAGGAAGTCAATGGAGTGAATGTAATGTTTGTTGTCTGCAATGATAGCATTACAACATTGAATACATTGCTTACGGCATTCGGTCACGAAGGAGGAGCACAGGGATAGCACAGCGATAGCACAGGGATGGCATGTATGGGGCACTTATCAGGGGTAGCAATGTTTGGCTGAATTCTTTGTGCGACCTTTACATAAGCTTTCATTGATGGTGTGCACAGCACTTATATAATGGTGAGAATGGTATGCCTGAGGCACTGTATCAGCGGGCAGTAGAAGCTATAGTCAATACATAGTGAAGCTGCAGGTGAATCACTACTATTAACTTTTGACTATTGCAACTATCCTACTATGAGTACCACTAGGCACTCGGCACCTGTCATTACCCATACATGTAAACAACCCATTGCTTATTATAGTTACCTCTGCTTTGATTATAAATTGATTAGCTATCAGTTAATACATATTTATTGCCCTCTTTAATGAGTATCATTTTAGTTTCAATGATTATAATCGCAATAATTCCCATTAATTGTTATTCAATTTTTCACAATTTATTGCTTTAACTTAGAACTTGATTAACGTTACTTAATTTACATAAATATTTGGTAAAAAATTTTCAATTTTTGAACAAATTCCTAATTTTATATTAATTACAGTAATATAATAGTGACTTAAAGAGAAAATTATTTTTAGAGTATTATTGGTTTTAGTCATAGGATTTTGAGATCAAGTTTTTAAATAAAATTACACTTCAAATAATAATTTTTATTGATAAACTGGTTGTCCGTTAGAAGTATAATTTTTTGTTCATTTTTATTAAATAATATTTTATATAATGTAATACATTTCTACAAACACTAAATGATTTTTCTTTATATACATTACAATGAGATTTAATATAATCAACAAAAGAGCATTAAATACCAATTCAAAAGCAAAACAACAATTATAATTTAAAGTTAGTTGTGGGATAAAAGTCTATCTAACGGTGCACACAACACTGTATTTATGTACTAAACTACAAAGTAATACAATAGTTTTTTTTATTAAACAAGTTAATCATAAGATGAAAAGATAGCATTGAAATTGTGTAATGTTTGGACAATTTAGACTTAAAGATCAATTGTAAGACGATTATTGAATTTAACACAACATTAAACATAATACTAATGCTAACGTTTAACTGTAGTTGAAATGTAAACGCAAACCATAGGAAAGAGAAATATCTTTTTCATCATATAATCGATGACTTGCGGCTAAAATACTTTGACTTAAAAGTTATACTTAAAAACCAAGTCCTTGACTGTCGAGATATTTATTTATCTTTAAATTATAAAAATTATCGAAAACTCTCATTTAGAGGTTAATCAACTATTAAACAACTAATTGATGGTTAAAAGGAAGTCAAATACAAAGACAACTCTACTTTTCTCATTATAGTCATTGATAAAAATATACTGTGTTTATAGATATGCATAGTATTTGATAAACACATACAATAATACTCATTCAATTGAACGTTGCGCTACATTTTTAATCCAAATTATATAAAGTATATATATATATATATATATCAATATGATAAGCATACAAATAAAATTGCATCCCAAAAGCCTACTTACCCCTATAATAATAGTCATAAATATAATGCGAAAACCAAACATTTTTTCCATTGTCTCCGATTTTCTCTTTAAAATTCCTATTTGTATCTTCAAAATCACCTATTTTTAATAAATATATAATTAATTTTTATCAAATTTTAGTTGATATATAAGAAAATATATAAGTAAAATTTATTTTTTATAATTTAATCAAAATTGTGTAATTCAAAAGTTATTGTTTAAAAATGATTAAATTTTAGTTATTTATTGAAAAAATATAATTTATAATAAAAGTAAAATAAGTTGTTTTGTGATTTATAAAATAAATTGAAATATTGAAGTCAGTAGGTTTGGGTCTAGACTTGACTCTTGACTCTTGACTCTTGACTCTTGACTCTGGGTGTATACGCATACCAGAGCTTACGTGTTATGTGTATCTCTCATAGGAAATTCTCTCACACTCTATTAACTTAAACATACAGTCACTGTAATTGTGTTTAATTTAATATATAAATTAAACAAAATGATGAAACATCATCTCTAGCACATATAGTATGACATTAAGTATATAAATAAGTTGATACAGTATACAAATATATATATTTAATCTAATTTTTTACTCAATTAATATTTACATATCTTTATAAATATAATGTTATAATAAACATTAATTTAAATTATTACATTAGCAAAATTATGTCATATTCTGCATCTTGACTTATTTATCTTAAAAATTTAATATAACAATATTCTCTACCAAAAAATTAAACCATTTAATGAAAAAATTTGATTAAAATATATATAAATTAATTTTGAAATGTTTAGTATTGTTTATTTAGTTTAACACAATATAAAATTTATTATTACTTTTAAAAATTATAAATTAATCTTAATATATATATTATAATTTGTATTATTTAACTTAAATATTATAGGAATAAAAGTATAATAAATTACATTTYTAATTAAGTTAGAATTATAAATATATGATATAAATTAGATAATATTTAATGAAATAAGTAAAATGAAAATAACTTACTGTTAAGTGAATTGAAGATAATTAGTCAAACAATAATAACCAAATTAAGCACGAATTGATTGTCACAAATGATGGCACAGGTAGTTGTATTAATAGGTAAGTAAGCATCAAACAGTTGAGTGCCTGAGTTTCACATTGAAATCACAGCATAACATCAACTCAACTGCAATGAGTTGTTTGGTTTGATTGAATCCGTGAAAGACTTTGAGACACACTTAAAAAGCTTGTTGTGTTCATACAGTCCTAATATAGTGTATAAATTATAGCATAACTCTGCGGTCAGGTAACAGTTTGGAGTGTTTAGATCCCGTTATAGGCCGACCTCCACATTATATACTGGCTTACAGTGGATAACCTGTACGTATACTTTCGCAGCCGTAGGGCCACAGAGATGTTAAAAGAGCTGTAGTGCCGCTAAAATCAACACAAATATGGCATAAATGTTGGCTCATATAATATCACATATAATATCACATATAATATCACATATAATATCACATATAATATCATTTATAATATCACATCTGCCTTTCTTTTAGCCTAAAACCCTATCCAAACATTTTTTATAATCATATTATAAGGTATTCAAACATTGATTGCTTAAACTTCCGTAAAAATATATTCACTAAATATAAATATAAATGTTATAATGTTTTTAATTGCAACTAATGTATTGATTACATAACGTGAGTTTCAATGTTAAGCCCTGAATCTATTACTTAATTTTTATTGACAAATGTCTCGACAAATAGACTTATTTCTCTATTTTCTAGATTTACTTTATCATCACTTCGTTAATTTGACTTTATTTCATATAATCATAACATTTAATGTGTACTAAAATTTTTATATAATAGTATATTATATATTATAACATAATGTTTTATATTAGTAACATAATTTTATATTTGTTTAAAAGGCTTTTAGACAATTCAATACCTGTAATAAATTTATAATAAAATAGTAAAAATATATCATTACTTGTTTTAGCCTTAATTTGTTTAGTTTTGTTGTTGTTTTGTGTTATATTTAAGTCAAAAAAATTTTTWAAATTGATATATTATTACGCAAAGAACTTGTTATAAAATAAAATAAATAATATTGTAATGGATTTTA